AGGAGTGGCAGTAGTAGTAGTAGAAGTAGTAGTAGTAGTAGTAGTAGTAGTAGTAGTAGTAGTAGTAGTAGTAGTAGTAGTAGTAGTAGTAGTAGTAGTCGAGTAGTAGTAGTAGTAGTAGTAGTAGTAGTAGTAGTAGTAGTAGTAGTAGTAGTAGTAGCAGTAGTAGTAGTCGTCGTGGTTGTGGTGGTGGTGGTAGTGGTAGTGGTAGTGGTAGTGGTAGTGGTAGTGGTAGTGGTAGTGGTAGTGGTAGTGGTAGTGGTAGTGGTGGTGGCAGTAGCAGTAGCAGTGGCAGTGGCAGTAGCAGTAGCAGCAACAACAACAGCAACGACCGAAGACTCTTCCAAGGCGCCAGGCGGCACCTCGCGATTCGGTGCAGCGAGTCTTGGAGGAGACGGCTCGCTTTGATACCGAAGAGGGCAACAAAATGCAGGGGGGGCTTCAGGTTTAGGGGTTATTTCTGGTTTAGGGTTTGGGGGCTTAGGGGTTTAGGTGTCATAGTTGAAGGCTTTAGGGTCTAGGGGGTTTCTTTGCAATACTAGCACGAGCAGTGCAGCACGTTGTCACTGGCATCGCGGTCATCATACTGCTGCTGCTCCTGTGGCTGTTGATGTTCTGCTGCTACCAGTACCACTACGGCAGTCACTACCGCTATCTCTACTGCAACACCAGTAGCAGTCGCGGTAGAAGTATCGGCAGCTAAAGTCGTAAAGGTAGAGGTGGTGGTGGTACTGGTGGGTGTTGGTGGTGGTGGTGGTAGTAGTAGGAGGAGGACCAGTCACAGCAGTAATGCCGGTAGTGGTAGAAGTAGTTTTGGTATTAAAATATTCGCGCAGCCTGTGAGCACTCTCGGATTGGCTGCAGCGGCAGTCGCAGTCGCCGTCGGCGACCGTAGTTGCCATGATCAGAATACTGCTGGTCATTCCGGGTCCTTGGATCAGATGTGGGGTTCAAGCTTTGGTTTAGGGTTTAGGGTTTAGGGATTTAGGGTTTAGGGATTTAGGGTCGTGCTTCCTCAGGAGGCTGCCCGGTTGGCGCGAGAGGCGCCTGTGGGTCTTCAGGTTTGCAGGGCAATCCGGGCCAGAGGCCGAGGGCAAGGAGGTTGAGCCAAGCCGATATCTCGACTCGTTTGCCAGCTTCTTAGGCCCCCAAACCTGAAGAATACTCGAATCGACAGGCAAGCTTTTTCATCCAAAGAGACCTGGAAGGTGGCAGAAGTTCAGCGCCAGTTCAAGCAGAGCCGCAGCCCTCAGCCGTCATTGCTGGTAGCATGGTTCTTACGGCTTTCTTTGCGGTTGCTTCATTGTCGCCTTTCATGTTGTTTGCCTCTTTGTTCGATTGGTCCTGGTGTTGCACTTGCTAATGTTGTTCTGCAATTGCCACTCTTGTAGTTGACATCACCGGTTGTTGCTGTGTCTCGTCGAATCTTACGGTTAGTAGTATCGATCCCACAGCTGATTTATTGCTGTCGCTTGTTACTTGGTATGGCCAAACTCGCCTTAGACGAGCAGCTAGTAGTTAGTAGGTAACGCAGACTAGTTGGTGGCTAGTACTTAGTCGTTTCTCAGACACGAGAAGTTAAAAACCTACACCCCTAAACCACTGAAGCTCGCAACCCTGAGCCCTGACCCTGACACCGGAGTTTCTTCCCTGCGCCCCTCTTTACCACCCCTTTCAACCATGTACCCTAAACTCCGTGTAGGAATTTCCCATTCGTAACAGCAGTGCGAAAAGGAGCCCATAAAAGAAAAGCTTTACCAACCCTAAACGCCCAAAGCCCAAAATCTGATCAACCGCACAGGCAAGTTGGCGACGGACGCTCGAAGCAACGAGGTGCGGGCACGGTCTTCCTTGAGGATTTCAAGCTTCCTGGTTGGTTGCGGGTTTGGGGTTAAGGATTGCGACTTTTACGTCGGGGTTTGTTAGTATTAGGGTTATTGGAAGAGGCGACTTGGTTTAGGATATGTATTTTCAGCTCAGGGTGTTGGGTCCAGGCTTTCTCGGTCTTAATTAGTAGCTGAGTGGATACACTTTACACTGCTTGGAATAATATTACCCACTACAACACTGGAAGTGTACACTTTCTGGGGCTTATGAACTCAGCAACTAAGAGGTGAAGGGTCTTGCAAGCAGAGGTCTTCTGAGAACTGTATACCCATGGTCTACTGTGTGCCCCAAAAACGCAAGCCTCTGAAGCCCTAAACCCTTGGGGCCCAAAAGCTTGTTCTTCATGTTTCGATATTCATTTAAGCCCACTTAACTTACTAAACTTCCGCCCGAGCGGTAAAGGAAGAGGCCGCATGTAAAGAACATAGATGAGCAACGGTACAGAAACTACCCGACACAAATCCCAAAATGCCAGCACGGAACACCCTAAAATCCCAAACCCCAAACCCAAAAGTCCAAGCCTCACAAACCCCAAGAAGCTCCCCGAGACCTTGCATGGTGGCGCAGGCGACGGCTCTGCTGGACGATATCGAGAAGGCGCAAGACCACCCCCTGATGCTTCAGGTTTCAGCTTCCCGGCTCTTCCGGGTCTACTTTTTTGTGGTTAGGGTTTAGGGTACAGCTGTTTGGTGCAGCTGTTTTGTACGGGTGATAGGGCCTTTCGGTATTACAAGGGTTTTAGACGGGTCTCACAGCGTTCTTTGTAGGGTCTCAGAAGTGGGGCTCTGAAGGGTCTATGCAAGTCGAGGCCTTATTCCGAGCTTCTTGGTCAAGTTTGTGGTTCTGTCGACAATCAGATTTAGGAGTATCCTCGAACCTTCCCGGACTCTTCATGTTTTGTTTACTTCTTAAACTCAGGATTCGTTTAGTTCTCCTATCACACAGCGGCGAGCGAGGTGTGAAAACCTGACAAAATAGGCACCTTGAACATCCGCCAATCTAGATCAAGCCAAATCTCCATTCGTGGAGGCCGGTCGTGGGGGAAAGCGAACCCGGCTTGATTGACGGCGAGCTGTGAATGAGGCATTGTACAAAATCTTATACATCACGGCATAAACCCTAAGCCCAAAACCTTCAACCGCAACGGCTGAATCCTAAACCATTCTCGTTCGCAGCCGGATTTGGGGAAAGCGTGGACAGGGACCGAAATGCCAGTGAGTCTAATGGCACAGCATGTTTTACGGTCTTGTGTCTTTGCGACTGGCCATCTGAGGCTGAGTTTCTGAATGGTAGTCGCTGTCCACGAAGGGATGCTGACGGTACGTCAGCAAACAATTCGTTTTGCTCTCGTCTCTGACTCTCGTGACGTAGTGGCCTCGATCCACAAGGTTCGGAGGACCTTCTGCGCTTGCACCGTGCTGCAACGGTTCCCAAAACTCTTTGCATTTTGTCCATAGCCTCTGCCTGAGTAGGCTATGCACTTGGTCTCACCGTGTGGCCCGTAAGGTTTGCTAGCATGGCAGTAGACTTTCGCAGGAAGTGTTACGGTATGTCTTCAAAGCAACTGTGATTGCATGGATGGTACAGCATGTGCTTCCACATGCTATCGAGGTTTGCAAGCACGATCAGAGGCCGTAGTATGCAAGTGCGTAGATTCATTATGCGTGCATCTGCATAAAACTCTACACGCATGAAGTGGAATATTTCAGCCGGACCATGCATCAGAGCTCATCTTCTGATAGGATAAAGTTCTATCGTGCCATGTGCTTCAGTGTTGCGTTGCTGTCACGTGCTAATCTGCGTTTGCCGTGTTTGCTGACGGCAACCTTGAATCATAGGAGGCCAAAAGGGGTTTTAGCCTATAGGGGTTTAGTAGGGATTAGGGTTCCCATAATAGGGCTCACATTAAGGAATCCCTGCCCCAAGAATCTTACGGCCCTGAGGCCTATTATAGTTATAGTATGATATGGGAGTTTCCGAAAATAGGGGACCCTAATATAGCACCCTAAAGAGTAGGATCGTTGTAATAGTTATAGTATAATATGGGTGGTTGTCAATAGTAGGGTCCCTTTCTGGGTCCTTGATCTAATACGGCAGCTAATATTTAGCGTACCCACAAAGGGACCCGAGTTTCCGAAAATAGGGGACCCTAATATAATACCCTAAAAAGTAGGATCCTTGTTATAGGGACCCCCTAATTTTCGGAAACTCCCATATGCCCCTAAACCCTAAACCCCTAAACCCTAAACCCTAAACCCTAAACCCCTAATCATTAAGGCCCCTAGAGTAAACGCCTCCGGTCCTCTAGCAACTTCGGTGTGGCCCTGGTGGGTTCCCGAGCCGGCGCCGCCACCCCCGGAATCCCACCGTTTAGGGGTTTTGGGGGTTTAGGGGTTTAGGGGTTTAGGGGTTAGGGGTTTAGGGGTTAGGTTTTAGGGATTTTGATTCTGGCTTATTGTTTTTCCTTTTTGCCTCAGCAAGCTATGTCGTTTTTAGTGTGACTCTAATTTTCTGCTGTACAAAGCTACTTGCGGTTTCTTGCAGCACCAGGCTTCATCTGCTTGTAATCATGGCTGCTGCTGTTATTCCTGTGTTGTTTGCTGAGGTCGCTAGTCTTATTCCTATCGGCACTTGGTACTGTTATGGCAACGGCGCTCGCATCTTTGGAAACATGCCGTTCGAAGCCTGGTGTATACCCTAAAACTATAAGCCCTGAACTCTGAACGTTGACCCCACAAGAACTGTTACTGCTATGGCGTCGTTTCGATGCTTTTGAGATGTGTGCTCCTGGATTTGAGGCCATGTGGCTCCTTGATCCACGCGAAGCATAGAGGTTCTAAGACGAAAGTCATGGTTTGGGTTGGATTAAGAGTTATGCTAGTCGGAGAAGCGTGTTCTGGACAAGCTTGGGCTTTGTCACGAATCCGTCCCGTAATCCAGGTCCTTCCTAAGAGTGCTTATTGAATTAGCTACTTGAGCTACCTGTGCTTCAAGAGTATATAGCCACACCTCATAACCCAGGCTTGCAATGAGCTAAAAGCCAAGTTGCCGAGTTGTCTTCGGGAAAGGCCGAAAGGCCATCTCCCACCACAGATGTAGCACCACCGGCGTCAATGGAGTGTGGCTGCTTGCGGATAGTATTGAACCATGCAGCGCAGCTCGGCAGAAGTGTTGACAAGTCGGTTAAGATGCAGATAATGCGATTGTGTAAGCACCGGTGGCCGTCGATGGTACTGTTGCCAGTGATGATGAAGTACTGTAGTGACCGTGATGCTATTGACGGTGACTGTGACGTTGGGGCGACTCTGCTGGCTCTGCTCATTGTTCATGCTCACTCTTGTACTTACTTAAAGCCTATACTATATAGTCTGTAGCATATAGCATGTAGTTCATAACATGTAGTATATGTCGTGGAATTATAGGAACTGGAGCTATCAAGGCTTGCAGTGGGACGGGAACATGTAACCTTGTTCCGCCCTTGAATCCCAGAGGCTTAAACTCATAAAACTTAGGCTTTTAACCTCTAAATCCTAAACCGTGCCTGCAGGTTTAAGGGTTTAAGGTTTAGGGTTTAGGGTTTAAATCCTAAACCGTGCCTGCAGGTATTGCTTTCCGCAGGCCATCCTCATGTTTGCCGCCCGGGCCTCAGATTGGGGAGGCGAAGCTTATGACAAGCGAAGGGGCGGCTCTTAAGATTTTGGGGTCCCAGGGTTCTTAGGATTTGCCCTAAAACCCTAAGGCCCTAAATCCTAAAAACCCTAAAACCCAAACCCTAAGCCTTAATGGTTGAGAGATCCCAGTTTCGGGCTCCTACCCGAGCCTTAACTTAGCCAAGGGCAACAGGAGGGACCCTTAATACGGACCCCTAGGTAATATACCCATAATATAGCCATTACAGTATTATAGTACCCTTATAGACCCCTTATAGTAACCCCATCTAGATCCCTTTAGAGGAACCCGGGCCTAGGGTCCCTCCTTTTCCCCTTTGAAGCCATCCGCCAGGAAGTTTGGATCGGAAGATCGGTGGTTTGCGGCAGATTCTGGGTTTCGGAGGGTGCCCAAGCGGATGCGAGTTTGGAGGGGTTTAGGGTTTAGGGGTGTAGGCGTTTAGGGTTTCGGGGTTGAGGGTTTCGGGCATGTTCAGGGTGTAGGGCTTAGGGTTTAGGATCGTTTGCTTGGCTTGGTTTCGGGTTTAGGGTTTAAGGTTTAAGGTTTAGGGTTTGGGGTTTAGGGTATTGGGCTGTAATGTCAGTTTGAGTCACTTTATAATTGAATCCGACACAAACCCTTGTCAACGCCCAAAGCCCTTAACCCAAACCCCAAACCCTGAAGCCCTAAAGCCCTCAAGGCCCTAAACCGCAATGTGCACCCTGAACCCCAAAGCCCTAAACCCTAAGCCACTAACCCTAAATCCTAACCCCTAAACCTCCAAACCCTAAACCCTCTTTATGAGCCACTGCACCTTAAAAAAAAACCCTCTTTATGGACCCCTAAACCCTAAGCCCTCCAAGCCCAGATCACCATGCCCATCGCCCTGCTGGGGCCCTTGGAAGATGATCCGGCTCTCGGCCTGGTCGGGAGCCCAAAACAGGGGTGTTTGCGAGAATAGGTTCTTCTCTCTCTTGAGTCTGTCTCCGTGCGTGTATGTGTTTTGCGCTCTTGCTCTTGATGTGATGTTTTTCTCCGGGCTCTTGGCGCTAGTGGTGCTCTGGGGGTTCCGGGTTTTTGCGGGCAAGGGGCCTGAGGCAAAAACTCCCAAAACCCTGAGCCCCGACAGGACAACTCCAGCATCAACTCCATCCTTGCCCTTGGCACGCTAGCGCGCGCCTTCGGCAAGTTCGTGAATGGAGTCCTGGTGGACAAAATTGGCGTCACTTTGCTGAAGGAGTTGATGGCCATTCCCAAACATTCCAGAAACTCAGAAGTATGAACATTGTCCGACTGTTACGTCGGGTTCACTGAATGTTCCTAATTCTTTTCCCCACGTGCGGGGTATTGGAGGCACAGCCGTCCATTGGGTAGCCCCCCCCCACTCAGTAATAGTTGAATAATATTCATAATACAGAAATATTAGGACCTTAATAGTAGCCCTACTACAGACTCTTACTGTATTGGGGGGCAGTACCTAAGCCGTCCAGCATGACCAGCAGACCTAGGCTCACTGTGCTAGGCAGCGGCAGAAACCGCCCCAAGCGACCATGGCGACAACAAACGGCAAAAGTGGCAGAAACCAGTGCGACCAGTGGGCAGGTGCTTACAGAAAGAGATGATCGTGCGGACGGTACCGTGATGATAATGATGATGATGATGATGATGATGATGATGATGATACTCCTGACGAGGGAAGGATGGTGAGGAGGTGTAATGATGATGCTGCTGATGGATATGGCTTTACGCAGCAAGCTTTCGAGCAACTGGTCCCCACGGTTTCTCTTTTTTGTTCCTGTTGTCCTTGCTTGAGTACACAAGCTTTTTGGTCTTGATCATCCCCAGCAGCAGCAGCATCAGCAGCATCATCATCATCATCATCATCATCAGAGCATCGTCTTTGCAATGTCCGATCCCTACACCCCCAGACCTGTATGCACCATCCCAGAGAGCCCAAAACCCCTTAATTAAGGAATATACCTTAAATTATAAGGGGATTCATATTATGATTTAAGCTATATTCCTTAATTAAGGCGTATTGGGCTCTCTGGGATACCAGCATCCATGCTCTCAGGTGCGACCGTTCCTTTGCGTCGCCTTGCTGCTGGCGTCGGCTGCCTGCGTGGTTTTCGCTTCCTCCGGTGGGGCGGGTGACTCACGCAGCACAACTATAGTATAATATGGGAGTTTCCGAAAATAGGGGACCCTAATATAGTACCCTAAAGAGTAGGATCCTTGTAATAGTTATAGTATAATATGGCTGGTTGTCAACATTCGGATCCCGTTTTGGGTCCTTAATATAATACGGCACCTACCACCCAAATGTTGCTGGTGCAATTACCCATCTTTGCGGCTGGCAGGATTACAAAGAAATGCATGGAAGTACCGAGTTCTGCTCGTGGCAGCAACTGCAATCGCTGTTCAGAACGTATGGCTCGACTTTCGGAGAGCCTAGAGAACGATCGGGATGATACACCAGACTGGAATAGAACACATGCATCGTGCCCAGACTTTTATCTACATACGTATATGTATGACAAAGCCACATTTTCGTCGGTCGATGTGCACATAGTCACCAATGTTTCTGTTGGCCGTTTCGAGAAAACGGTGTACCGGTTGATCCCCAGCCAAGCCTAAGTGACCGCTAAAGGACCCTGTGTCCTAAACAGCCCTTCAAGAGCTTCAAAGCCTAAAGCAAGCATGAGGCCTCAAAACGCAGAGACTGCAATATCACTGAATTGAGAAATATGCCTTAAATCATAGTAGGATCCCTGATATGATTCAAGGTCTACTCCTTAATCCCCTTATAATAGAGCCAACCCTTAAAGATCCCTTGAAGGAACCCCTAGGGGTATATTCCTTAACTACGGAATATTGGAGCCCTCAGAAATCTCGCAGGCGCTCAGGAGCCCCGAGCCGGATTCCACCCGAAAGCAGCGAGCCGACCCCGAGCCTTCGAAACCCTAAACCCTAAACCGTTTAGGGTTTAGGTTTTAGGGTTTAGGGTTTAGGGTTTAGGGAAACCCTAAACCCTAACCCAGAGAGCCCAGTACTTACCTTTGATTAGTAGGGAATGGAGGAATGGGGTACAATTACAACCACTATTACTACCATTCTTCCATTCCCTTACTAACCAAAGGTAAGAATGCCCCTTAATTAAGGAATATACCTTCTTAATTAAGGGGGCTCTCTGGGAAGCCCTGAACCAATTTCTACACGCTGGAGAGGTGAGCAGAAAAGGGGGCTAACAAAAAACACTTTGAACCCTACCTGCAACCTCGCCATACCCCATACTTCTTCGATAGTTTTCACGAAAGCTCCAGGAGACAAGCTGCGCTGGAACGCATTGAAAAACCTGGTAGGGTCCCTCTTCTAGGTCCCCAAAATGCTATGGCACCCTTGTAACGAGAACCCTAGAACTGCCCAGAGAGCCCAAGCCCAATACCCCTTAATTAAGGAATATAGCTTAAACGATAATATGAATCCCCTTATAATTTAAGGTATATTCCTTAATTAAGGGGTTTTGGGCTCTTTGGGTACCCAGGTAGCCTCGGGGTGGCGGTGGCCACGTTGAACTACTGCTGCTCTGGTGCCTGGCTCACCGGGTGCAAGGTCATCGACGCGCGGCTGAAAGGGTTAGGGGGTTTAAGCTATACCTTTGATATGAGGATTCTAAGATTCATTTTTTTGGTTCTTTTGGGTAGAGGCGGAAGGCAGCATTGTAAGGCTGTGTCGGTTGTCAAGGTCAAGGGGCTCTCGGCAGTCCGGGGACGTCGGGTAGTGTCACAGAGCGGTTTCGACTTGCGCAAACGATGCGGGTCTGTGCACGCTCTGCATCTTGATTGGACATGGCTCGGATTGACGACGCTAATTGGGTCAATCCCATCCACGACGACCAGGACATAACCACGACGAAGATGATGATGATGATGATGATAGGGATGATGATGATGGCCATGAAGATATGATGCATGGCCATGGCCATCAGCCAAGACGATGGGGGAACCAAGGGCGATGATAGTCTTCATGGTTAATGTCATCTTTACCAACACTTCGATCTTTAATGATCTTGATTCGAACTGCTCGTGTTGTTGCCAAATCTCCGTTCTGCTTCTTCTTCCTCTCAGTGCTGGTTGTGGCATTCTTTTTCGACTGCCTCAGTCCGCATCCTCGTTCGCTTCCTTCTCCTCACTCGCCGCTTCTTCCTGGTCATCGTGTCCGCTTGGCCAGTCTGGTTTGATAGTCATTGTCGAGGTAGTGGGGGTGATGTTGCTGACAGGGGCCGTCGTCGTCAGAGGTCGTTCATCTGCGAAGGCTTCAATTAACCATCAACTTCCGAACCACCCTAAACTGAAGCCTTAATCTTAGATCCTAAAGCCGAGAGCTTACGCCCCAAACGACACACCCTACATGCCATCGACATGCCTCCATCCAGTCGTAGCACATAGTCAGATGAGGAGCGCCGATTCCGTCGAGAAGACTCGGGTCTGTGCTTCTCCGTGCTTGGATGCAAACTACGGTTGATGATATAAATCCTGCATTACCCATAATAAGGAACATACCATAATTCCCATAGTTTAGGGTCCTTAAGGTAATGCAGGATTTCTATCATCAACAGTAGGTCGTGGTGTTCAGGGTTTAAGTTTAAAGCTTATGCTTGTGGGTTGAAACTTGAGGGCTTAAGTCTCGAGCTTAGACTTTAGAATTTACGCTTTCGGGTGTCAACAGTGGGGACCAAGGCCTATAGGGTGCGAGTTCGGCTCATCTATCGTGTGCTCGAACGGAAACTCAAGGATCCTCAACTGATCGGAGTACTCCCTAGTTCTGAACCCCTTGTGGTCTCGCGAGCGTCCAGAACTTTCCGGTTCGCACCTTTGCACAAGAACACCTGAATCGTGAGCCATGGGCTAAATCCTAAGCCCTGTACCCTACACCCTTGCTATTTCAAGGTATAAGTTATAAATCCTTAAGGAAAGCCTTAACAGTCACCATAACTCCTTGTAAACCACCAAAAACCCCAAAACAAATCCACGAAACCCTAAGCTCCAAATCCTACCTCTGACCCTAAACCCTAAACCCTGCGATTCAACGCCAAAAATTCAGAAACCCAAGTCCAAATCCTGGCACGCAACACACCAAAACTCCAGAAGAGCCTTATACTTATACATCCCTTAGAGTAACCCTTACATAGACCCCCTTCAATTAGCCCTATTCCCTATTAAGAACCCAAAAGAGCCGAGGTGCTGGCCACCTGCTCGCGTTTGGGCTCGGTGCTGACACGGCTCTGCCTCGGCCTGGCGCCTTGGAGATGAGATCATTTAGGGTTTAGGGTTTAGGGCTTGGGATTAGGGTTTAGGGTTTAGAGGGATCCCTTCAAAGGATCCAGGGGCTGCTCATATCATAGGGACCCTTAGGGGGGCAGGGGGCCTTGAAGCATTTGGGGTTTAGGGTTTATGAGATCAGGGGCTGTTAAAAGGAGCTTAGATCCCCAATACCTAACCTTGAAACTTTTTGGGTTTTTCTAGTTTAGAAGGAATCGGAAAGTTTAACCTTTCATTTCTGTGGCTCATTGGGGTAGTAAGGGAACCCTTTAAAAGGAACCTTTAAAGGAAGTTTGAAAGGAACCCTTTAAAGGGTGTGCAGGGTTTTTGGGTTTTTGGGCTTAGGGTTTGGGGGTTTGTCGGTTTAGGGTTTTTGGGATCAAGGTTTAGGGATTAGGGTTTGGGGTTTAGGGAGTTTAGGGCTTTAAGAAGGTATGTAGGGCTTGAAAAGGGTGTACCGGTTACTATAAGGGCTACTCTGCTCGTGATGCTAGCAAACTACAAGAGCTACTACAAAGGTTACTACAAGGGATACTGCAAGGGTTATCACAAGGGTTACCACAAAGGTTACTATAAGAGGCATAACAGAGGCTACTAGAACGACTGCCATGCGAAGGGCTTCTGGAAGGTGGAATTTCTGAAGTTTAGGGTTTTGAGGTGTGGGGGGGGGGGGGGTTCGGGGGCTTTGGAGTTGAGGGTCTCGATGGAGTGCTGGTTTAGAGGTGTTCACTGTTTCTTTTGGGTTTGGTGCTTGAGGCTGCAGTGTTGCATCTCGGGTTTGTAGGGTTGGGGGGGCGTGCGAATTGCGTGTTTTCACAGCCCCCAAACCTCGAAACTCTCCGCCTGAAGTGCCAAAGCCCTATAGATTTTCAATACCTGGATTGCCGTCCATCCCGAAACGTTCGTCCAAACGTTTCGGGCACTCTACAGTCTCCAGACCCGAACAGGGCTCTCGCAATCCTCCAGGTGCTACTGCTGCTGCCCTGGCGTCAAATCGCCTACGGCGCAGCTGTTGTCATGCTGGCTTCCTGGTTCCTAGTGGTCCAGGCAACGCAGCATGGTGTGTGCACTCTCAATACAACACCCTAAACCGTAAACCACAAACCTTAACTCCTAAACCATTTAATCCCGGGAGGCACACTGTGCTTGAATCCAACCCTGTCCGCCGCCTGCAGGTGCTGCTGAAGGGTGACGCAGTCCGCGAAAAGGACGCGGACGGCAAGCCAAAGTTGCAGGTGGAACCGAACTCTGTACTCACCACCTCCCAGTTGTTTAGAGTTCCGTGTTTAAGGTGTAAGGTCTCGTGTTGGGTTTTAGGTTTGTGCTTGGGGTTCTGAACCCCAATCGGAAGGTTTGCTTCCTTCCAGGTGGAACCGACCACGCCGCGTATGGCGAAATCGGGGACGCCCAAGTTTCTCAAGACCGGGCAAAGAACCGGCAAGGTTGAGGCTGCCGAGGCCTCGTCTTAGAGCGGTTTTGAGGGGTTTTCGGGTTTAGGTTTTGGGGGTGTAGGGGTTGGGTTTGGGCAGGCTTCGGGTGGTTCCTGGGAATCAGTGTGTGGGGGTATTGAGGGTACATTCAGGGCATTCTGCGTGCCAGGCTGTGTCGATGAACTCTGCTGTTGCCAGTGGAACCACCAGTATCATGGCCATTGGGGTCCCGGAGTATTGGAGGTGTCACAGACATAATCTGGACACGCTGCAAGGACGCCTCAATGCAAAACCCCTCGCGAAACTCCTAGTCCTCGCCGCAAATCCCAATCCCACCAAAAAAGCCTTGAAGTCTATGTACTCCTTTACAAGGATGTCTAAAGTGGGTGGTTAGGGTCCCTTTATGGATCCTTGTTATAATACGGCATCTAATATTTAGGGTACCCAAAACGGGACCATTATTTTGACAACCACCCAAGTGGAGCCCTGAAATTTGGGAACAGCAGCCCTCTCCAGCAGCAAGGTGCCGACACTATGTCAGGTGCTTTCGAACCGAGGCCGGCTCGGTGAAGACGACCTCGTCGGGGTTTCGGATTCAAGTCTTGGGCTTTAGGGTTTAGGGGTTTAGGGTTTAGGGGTTTTATAGGGTTTAGGGTTTAGGGAGGGTTTAGGGTTTAGGGTTCAGGGTGTGGAGCAGATCTGGTAAGGGAGATAAGCGGACCAAGAGCAGAACCTACGTCGCAGCCGCCGGATGAAGGCTTCACATTCCGGGCATTTGGGGGCTTACAGATTCACTCGGGTTTCACACCTTTCACGCCTGTTCCATCTACCTTCCAGATCTCAGCCGAGGCAAGCTAAAGACCCGGCCCTAAACCCCGGGAAGAATGGACACTGGGCTCCACGCCGTAAATCGGAGTTTCAGACTGTTCGGGCATCCCAGAACTCAAACCCTGGAATCCCCAGACGAGGACCCCTTAGTATTCAGAAGATCCTCGAATCCACAAGCCGCAAAGCCTAAAAACCCAAAAGCCCTGAAGCCCCCAAGCCCTATGCGGTATCCTTGACCCTAAAGTCCTCAAGCCCTCAAGCCCTAAACCGCCCGCCTTTGCACCGGCATAGCCAGGCCTCCAGCTGCATTGCATCATCATCACCGGCGCCACATGCCTCATGTCTTTGGAGAACATGTGCCCGCTGCTTTTAAAAGATTTGGCGAGCCTTGGCCTGACTTCGGGTTTAGGGTTTAGGGACTGAGAGGCTTTAGTCCTTAGGGTTTTGGGGGTTTAGGAGCTTAGAGGCTTCAGTCCTTGGGGTTTAGGGTTTTGGGGTTTAGGGACTTAGAGGGGGTTTAGGGTTTTGGGGGTTTAGGGGCTTGGCTTTAGGATGTTGGGGGTTTAGGGTGAAAGGTGGCTTCTTTTGGGGCATAAGATCCTCCGGCTTAGGCTTGCGATAGTATGGGGGTGAGTATGAGGGCTACTATAAGGGTTTAGGGCTTAGAGCATGGCCTAGGGTTTAGGGAGTATGAGTTCAGGGTTCAGGGTGTAGGGTTCGGGGATGCGGACTGTTATGCTTTAGGCTTTTGACACTAAGCCTTGAACCCTAACTTGTGAACTCTCGACCCTGTACCCACAACCGAATCCACGAGAGGAAACCGGCAAGACTAAAACAACCTTGCCCTTCAGTTCAAGAGTGCGCCAAGGAACCTCACAAATGCAGAGGTGAGCATCCATGCGGCCCCTCGGCGCGGAAGACTTCTTCCTGCTCGGCCCCCACGTCGTTTGTTTACCTTGTAACTGCAGATGTCCCACGGTCTATGATTTAGGGTTTAAGCCGATTTAGGACTGTAGAGATGAAAGGTTCAGGGCCCTATATCACATCTATCTATATGTAGGTATATATACAGATAAACACACACACACACACACGTAGTACCAATCCATATACACACATATACACACACATATGTGTATATGGTACCTCATCATGGATCGACCTTCCTTCCTCATCGGGAGCATCTTGTGGAAGGCCTTGTGCGGTTTTTCGTTTTCATATGACTGGATCATCCCTGAGCGGCAAAACTGCAAGGCAATTTTCCCTGCGGGCGTTCTGCTTGGAGTGCTGACGCTGCCGCATTTGCATGCACGAATTACCAGCCACACAGGACCGCAGAGATGCGAGTTGTGCTGATTGTGTTTTTCTTCAGGTTATTTTGGATTTTTAATATTTTGCCTATTATGAGGGGCCCCCCCAAGATAGTATCAGTAGGTCTTTCGGTTTGAATTGGCCCTGATGCAAATCCTGCAGCGCAAGCCCTAAACCCAAAGTCGGAGCTCTAGAACCCCTGTATCCTGAACCTTAGAAGCTGCCCCCACCCTGCAATAGTGACAAAAAGGGTTATATTAGGGCCCTATTATATGCCCAATATGACTATTACAGGGTGTTGGCCCCTACTAACCTAAACCCTCGTCCAGTGAATGCTTAGCCAGAAACCATGGGACCTTAAATCCATATACCCCAGAGCCCCCCCCCCTTCACCCCACATAATGTAGGGGCCTTAATAATTAGAATAGGGTTTTTGGTGCCCATGATACTATAATTAGAATAAGGAACCCCCAAAATAGTATCGGTAATTATTGAGGCCCGTAAAGAAACCGAGGATCTCTGAACTTCAGCCCCTTGAACGGAGACCCCAACACAACCCCAAGACCAGTTTCGGGATCGGTTGAGGGTTTGGGGCTTCTAGTTTACAGTTTGGGGGTTTCGGGTTTAGGAGTCTAGGGTGTAGTTGATGTGCAGAGATATCCGAATGCGGATCTGCAAAAACGAGCCTAATGCACGAGAATAGCACCAGCTTTGCTGACAACAGACACGATGGTAGTCATGTCTAGTCCAGTCAAGTCATCATAACTTTAGCAACGGCGTCAGCATCAGAAGAAGAAGGAAGTATAAGTAACAGCAGCAGTGTAGGTGTAGGAGTAGCAGTAGGGCCAGCAGAAGTTGTGGTAGTGGTAGTGGCAGTGGTGGCGGTGGTGGTATTCGTCGTCGCTTTGGCATTGGTTCTGATGCTGCATGTCATTTTTGTCCAAAGCCCAATGCACGAACACATTCCACCAGAGCATGCACAAAAAGCCTCGTGATCTAATGCTTGTGAACTCTAGACCAATAGGCCTTACAACCTGGGCCTTCGCACGCCAGATCCCCAGCATCCTGAACCCCAGGTCCTGGACTCTAAACCCTAAACCTAAACCGCGAAGACATGCAAATTACGAAAGTCAAATTCATGGATGAGGGGTCCGGGTGGTGCGACGGCTTCGGTATGAGCGTTCTTAGTTTCTCTGGTTGAGGACCACAAAGGCCAGTGCCGGCGCCCAGTTGTTTAAAAGAGCCCTAGGCCCTGAGCCCCTCGACCCTTGCCTTGAAGACAGGAAAGCTGCTTTTCGAGCTCGGCCTGAAGCTGGGTCCAACTAATATGCTTCCCAGACAGAGACTCCATTGTCCCTTCATTTCGGCATATTCCTTGAACCATATTAGGGATGCTACTATAAATTAAGGAATATTCCTTAATTAAGGGATATTGGAGTCTCTGGCTTTGCCTCGTTTGGGGATCTCTGTAGGGTGTAGGGTCGGGTATTTTTTGTAAGGTTTGGGTCTAGGGCCTAAGGCTTAGTGAGGCAATTTGGGCAAGGTTTTATGGCACGGTCAGTGAAGTTTTTTTTTTTTTTCATTTTTTCTGTAATGGTTGAGGATCCATGTGGGTTCCCACTCGGACTACTCTAGGGCTTAGGGGTGAAGGCAGTCCGTGGCGCTGGCGGCGGGAGGATTTCTTACGTTGCTGGTGAGCTTGCCAGCGAAGCTTGGCAGAACGGGGTTTAGGGTTTTGGGGTTTATTCGTTTAGGGGTTGGGGTTTAGTAGTTTCGGGTTAGAGATGTAGAGGCTTGGGTTTGCACGGTTTGGGGGTTGTTTGATCGTAGACCCTGCGCGAACCCGAAACCCAGTAAAGCCGAAAAGCATAAACCACAAAGGGACCCCAAGCCCCGCACTCCAAATCCCTGAGCCTGTGCGCAGTCAAAGAGGGTTGCGGCGGGCTGTCAAATTCCATGAGATCTCCAAGCCCTAAGCCCTTAACCCCAAGTCCTAAATCCAGGTATAGGGTTTTAGGTTTGACGGAATAATATAGGGCGCTTAACAATTACCAAAACCATTGTGGGGGATCCTTATGAGAACTACGGTATAATGGGCCCCAAAACCCTGTTCTAATTATTGAGGCTCCTATACTACTATAGTACCCTAATATATGCTGTTGTAACCTTAAAAAAACTATTATTCAGGCACCTATATTAGGTTTGCCTGAAGATCCAACGTGACTTGACGGCCTTGTCTAAACCCTAAACCCTAAAAGAATACCCAAAAAGACTTAACGGCTTTGTCCCAGGAAGACGGTGCGGGTGGAGTTCCTCCTCAGCTGTCTGGTCCCGCAGTTGCACGCACAGGGTGAAGGGTTTAGGGGTTCAGGGTTTTAGGGTTAAGGGGTTTAGGGTTTAGGGGTTCAAGCTTTTTAGGGTTTAGGGGTTCAGGGTTTTAGGGATAAGGGTTTCAGGGTTTAGGGTTTGGGGGTTCAGGGTTGTAGGGTCAAGGGTTTAGGGTTTAGGGGTTCAGGGTTTAGGGTTCTATTCTGTTGCGGCCTGCAGCCCTGAAGTTCTAAAGCAGGCTAAACACCAATCCCTATACCATGGTGCATTCACCAAGGTCTGCATCGCTCTGGGCTTGTCTTTCAACTACTACATCAAGCCTGCCTGCGGCTTAGTGGGAGTGCTCTTCCCAGAAGCCTCAAGCATTAATGCTCTCAAGGCCAAGCCGGAGCCTTGCGATCTGCAGCAGAAACCTTAAACCCTAAAGCCTAAACCCTAAACCCCAAACCTTCAACCCTAAACTAAACCCTAAATCCTGTCCTGAACCTTGAGCCCTAGACCCTGAACCCTGAAGCCTAAGCCATGCTCCCGAAAAGGACTTTTCAGGACCAGAGCGGGATCCTTCATTATCCGAACCCAGAGAGCCCAATACCCATTAATTAAGGAATATAGCTTAAATCATAGTATGAATCCCCTTCTAATTTGGGGTATATCCCTTAATTAAGGGGTATTATAATCCCCTAAACCCTGTAGATCCCTTATAGATCCCTTAAAGGAACCCTGACCCTAGGTATATCCCTTAATTAAGGGGTATTGAACCCTTCGACACCTGAAGATCACCGCAACCCCCAGGATCCTGCGGAGCGCTTAGCACGGTTTAGGGGTTTAGGGGTTTAGGGGTTTAGGGGGTTAGGGGTTTAGGGGTTTAGGGGTTTAGGGGTTTAGGGGTTTGGGGGGTTAGGGGTTTAGGGGTTTAGGGGTTTAGGGGTTTAGGGGTTTAGGGGGTTTAGGGGTTTAGGGGTTTAGGGGGTTTAGGGGGTTTAGGGGGTTTAGGGGGTTTAGGGTTTAGGGGTTGAGGATTTAGGGTTTAGGGTGGCAATTTGGGAAACATTTTAATTCCTTGTATGGTTACTAGAGAGGTACCGATTCATACACACTTTTCAGAGCCCCAAAACTAGAACCCAGGTAGTGTACACCGTAACCCTGGCAAGAATCTGCCAAGCATCTCCCGTCAAATAAAGCTTCTGGGCTAACCTTTGCAGCAACCCTTATTGACATTCAGCTCAGACATAGCATCGACGACATGCCGAGATGTTGAAGCTTCAGCGAAGGGTCTGCCACGCCTAGGTTTTCCGCTCAAGCACGGGAACCCATATTGCACCGTAAACGCTTCGGCTTGAAACAGTCAGTAAGCCCCACATCCTAAACCCTAAACTTCTCCTAAACCCTAAATCCTACACCCTAAATCCTAAACCCTAAACCCCAATTATAAACCTGGACAGAAGCCCTGACTCCTAGACCCGAAACTCAACCCAATTGTTAAACCCAAACCCTAAACGCTCGTAAACACCAAGCCTTGTATCACAAATCCCCGGACCCTGAACATGTTCTAAGCCCTAAACCCTCAACCCTAAACCCTAAACCCTAAACCTTAAACCCTAAACTCTAAAACTCTAAAACCCCAAACCCTAAACCCTAAACTCTAAAACTCTAAAACCCCAAACCCTAAACCCTAAACTCTAAAACTCTAAAACCCCAAACCCTAAACCCTAAACTCTAAAACTCTAAAACCCAAACCCTAAACCCTAAACTCTAAACTCTAAACCTGAGGGCATGCACACCTTGGAGTTCGGGGAGAGCTGTCCTGCCGACGTGCGTTTTGCTCGGGCGAAGTCGGAAGCAGATTCTCCTAAACCCAAAGCCTTAAAAACCCGAAGCTACGGGTCCAAAAGGCCCAGAATGAAGAGTCTTTAGATTTCCGGCTGTGTGTTTGCAGCTGGTGATTTGGGTTGAGCATCTAACACCCTGGCTAAGCACAGACTGGGCTAGCTAGCTGCTCCAAGAACGTTAGATGCCTGGCATGGAAGGTGGTGCGATGACGACTAATCTGGTGATGGTGGTGATGATGGCGACATGGGTGAAAACGATGCTGAAGAAGAAGAAGAAGAGAAAGAACATGTTTGTTTGACGGGAGGGCCGCTTGTCGGATTGTTGCACGTCTTCGAAAGTCCCTTTCCCGTTTCACTTTGCCATCTCCTTCCCATGCCTAAAATGGCTTGTTTTTTTGCAGCAGGGCCCAGGGTTGTGACCGGAACTGCAGCCGGGAGTTGTCAATGGAACTAGCGAACACTCAACTTTACATATCTTTCGAGCATCCCTGATTGCGCGAAGGGAAGCTGCATGCAGTAGGGATGGCAATGTATGTTGCAAATCTCTCCCGACACCCTAAAGCCCACAACCAAGACCCTCGGTAATGGGTGGCCCGAGGCCTTTAAGTGGAAGTCCCCGTTGCCAGGTGCCACAGCTTCCTCCATGATGGACACCGTGGGATATTTTGCCACGGTGGCCTTCCAGTTCTCGACATCTGCTGCTGGGCCGTATCTAAACCCCGGGGTACGGTATACACCAAAGTTTTGTCTTTGTCGCTTGAGAATTCCGGAATATGGGTTACCAAAGCTCTGTGCAGTGCAGCTAGCTGAGAGTGTCGGGGATCCAACTGCATAAGTGAAGGCTGAGCTTCAAAGTCAGTCCTTTTTAATGCCTTGATCACTAAAAAATCATCATCATCGCCATCATCACCATCATCCTCGTCGCCACCACCACCACCACCGCCGCCACTGGTAGCAGCATCATCATTATCATCGTCGTCTTCATCACGATCATCATTGTCACCATAGCATCGTCACCGCCAATGATGTTCAAGAGCACTGTTTCTGCAAAGATGCAAAGCAGGTCTATACAGTCTTGTTTTCTTCCAAACTTGCTAATGTATCTTTGACCGTGATGATGGGAGACAACTGTTCCTCTTCCTGAAGCGGCCGTTACGGGCTGTAGGCCTAGGCGTCAGACCCCTAAACCCAACGCGAAGCCCCGATCCTTCCGCCCAGGCTCTGTTTCGGAACGGAGGATGGTTCCAAGAACTGGGTGGGTCCGCCGACTCAGCACGTGCTGTCCAACTTTAGAAAAGAGGAGGCTGTGGGGTTCGAGCTTAGGAGGGTTTAGCGCTTGGTCCGCTCATATGCACTTGTTGGCTGGGTCATGCTACCACTCATCCGGAAGCACACATGCTGGACCCTGAACTTCACAAAGTTGGACTCGAAACGCTGAACGCAACCCCTGAACTTAGCAGTACGGAAGGTATGAGCCTGTTGTGAGCGAGCGCCTCACACCCCCACACCACAGAACCCCGAACAGCGAACCAAGACCCTAAACCCTACTGTAGGGGCCTTCATGATTAGAATAGGGTTTCGGGGCCCATAATACGATAGTCATAGCAAGGAACACCCAAATCAGAACAGTAATGTCTCAGGCCCCTATATTACACTCTACACGAAGAATCCAAATCCTGAAGAATGCCATGTCAGCCTTGAGCCCCACAAGCTTCAAGCCTAAAGCCCGGTCCCTCAACGCTACTTCTACCTGAATGGGACCATTTCAGCTGTGCATAAAGGCCTTGGTTCCTAGAAAAACACCATTCGGAACTCCTGCATAGAGCTTTAAGCGATCCTAAAGCCTGGCCGTTCAGACTTTCTTCAATCCTTATAAAACTGGGTTGTGCTTTGGGATATTTTCAAATTTCCCTTACTTCATTATAAAGGGAACCTATTCATAAATAATTTTCAAAGGGTTTAAAGCACAACCCAGAAAATGCTTTAAGAGATACCTCGGCCGAGGCCTTGGGTACACATCGCCGCAGCTTTGGTGGGCTGGGTGCTCGCCGGGAGCCCAGGTATCCCAGAGACTCCCATATGCCTTTATGAAGGAATAGACCTTAAATCATATAAGGGATCCTAGTATAATTTAAGGTATATTCCTTAATTAGGGGATATTGGCGTCTCTAGGATGTGTCGCAGGCGTAGAGCTGCCGGGTCTCGTAGAATCCAAGGGTAAAAGAAGGGACCCTTA